GTAGGACCTGTACTGTTCTTCCCCACAAAAGATGTAGCATTTGTGAAGGATTATTCCTATGGAAAAGGAGTGGCCACGGGGACAAGAGCCAGAGACAGTAGGAAGAGGCAGCATCATCCACAGACTGCCTTGAGGATCACTTCATTCTGAAAGCATAAGAGCCCAGCGAAAGGAAAAGGTCAAGAGTTCACGTAGGAGCAAGATGCAGAGGCATGCAAATCTTACAGTAACTTCTGTTCCTTCTGCCTGTGAAATTATGGGATCCCCATATGTGTAATGGTGTAAGTTCAAACTTCCTCATGCTACTACGTACTGCTTTTACAGCTTCGCTACCTGCTTGAGGAGTTCCTTGCTGTCTGTAGGGCTCTCTGAGGGCTGAAGCTGGGTTTTCATGCACAGACAACAGGTAACGCGTGTGCTCCTGCTAGCTGGGAGTACAGCACTGCTGGGTAGCAAGTGCCCTGCATTGCCTCCCCTACAGAGGAAGCGGGCCGTGCACTGCAAGCAGCCAGGTAACCAGCCCTGCAGTAAAAACAGCTTTACAGAAAATTGCCATTCCTGCTCTGCCTGGGCTCCAAGACTCATTTTGAAAAGAATTAATGCATTTGTCACAACATCTGGCATGGGGCAGAGACATGGTGAAGGTGAGTCTGTGGGTGGATAAGAGCTGGGTAGTGGCTAGCCAAGTGAAAAGAGATGTGCACCATGAAACCTGAGGGCCTGTACCAGAGGCTGGCAGTACCAGGTCTGGGCACCCTTCCTGCTTCAGTGGTGGGTCCCAAACAGTGGCATGGGACACGCTGTTGGAAGTTTATTTGTGTTGTACTCAAAAACTGTAAGGCACGTCCTGGAAAAGCATTCTGGCTTAGCTTGGACTTGCAAGTCAGTGATGCAGTCTGACATCTCATGAGCCTTAAAACAAAGAGATTACTTAAGAATACCCAGAGCTTAGCAATACCAAGCCAATTCCAGCTGTCTAGCACACTGAACTATGAAGCTGTCTTTGTAGAAGCCTCAGAGGCTTAAGTAATTGGGAGCTAACTTTAAATATCACAGAAACTAGAAGTCACAGGACCCAGAGAAAACAATGCAGGAACACAATCTGACCAGTTCCTGACAACTAGAAAAAAGACAAAGATAGAGGAAAGTGAGATAGATAAACTGTTTCTCTGTGTTATTTGCCACAGAGCAATAGATAAAAAGCAATACCTAAAGGTAGCAGTACAAGCAGAAGCATAAACAAAGTGTCTTAGGCAACAGTTGTGTGAATGCTTGGCAAAATACCTGTGCTCCACAAAGCCATGAGTCATCTCAAGTAACTGCTGTACAAACCAGGCAGTACCTGGGTATTTCTGAATAGTGCCTGCTGCGTTTTTTTAGTAGGCTCAGGTAGATTTTCTTCAGGTGAAAATGCTACCATCTGCTACGATTATATGATGATATAGTTCATAGTTCAGCCTTAATGATGCTTGTTGATTTGATTTGTTTTTGTTTTTTTTGACTGAATAATTTCACAATTTTTTTAATGAATTGACAAAGGCAGCCCAAAGTGCTGCAGTATGGAGAATAATCAGCAAAATGTAAGCACTAAATGGGGTTCAGGCAAGTGAGGGCTGAGGACTGAGTGGGAGATTCTTTTCAGTGTATACTGAGGTTGGAATGTAATGACCAGAAGTGCTGTTACATCTGGGTCACTACTCATAATAGCTACAGAGATGTAGCAGCAAATTGGAATGTATCACAAGATCTTGTCATCCGCTGTTGGCTGAGTGGTTTCTGTTTCTTCAGTCAGACCTTCGTCGACCCTTGGTTCCCAATATTTCTTCTTTTATCCTGTTCTTAGTTAATGAGCGTGCCTTCGCTGCAGGCCTTTTAAAAACAGTTTAAAAACCAGCATTTCATTGAAGAAAATGCTTAAAAACAATGTGGCTTAAATTCATCTGTGCATGTAAAACTACTAAAAACATCCAAGGATGTTAGCACTTGCGACAGTGTTTGAGCTAACTGCAGCTACCCAGAGGAACTCGCCATCCCCCACCACTTTCTCTGAGCTGCCTCACTGCTGCTGAACTCCCAGACTCCAGCAGATCCCTCAGCACCTCAAATGGAGAGTGAAATAATCTGCATCACAACATAAGGTATGTTACAATCTTCCATAACCCAACGATTTATTTAAACTTGCATCACAATGAGAATCTATTAATAAAATACATCAGTTCACACCAGTCTGCATTGCCAGTTTTTAAGGGTTAGCATCTTTCTTCACTTTATATTAAAACTTTATAGAGGTAAAAACTACCGCGCTGTACCCACAGTAGTTGAAATCACTGTAACATTAGGCAGGTTACAGAGGAGCTTTCAGAGTTAATTACACTTCAGTTAACCTCATGTTTTTTGGCACTGAATCTGACTGCTTTTTATTTTCTTCTTAACGTAAAATAGTTCTGTAGCAAGTCACAGAATCATTGACATAAAGCATCACTATCCAATGGCAAGTGCTACTGAAAAGCATACAAAAATTGCATCATTTGGTTACAAAATAGGTATTTCTTTATCCCAACACTTAGCATTGAGATGCCGTGATAGAAAAGGGCCGGGAACAGGGCCAGCTGAGCTGTTGCTGGTCCCTTTGTTGTAAAGCCTTGGTTAAACAAATCCCAGAGTGATCAATAACAAGGTATTGATGGCTTTTGCCTTGCCACGCAAGGTTATTCCTCTAAAGCACCCTCAAGCAGGTGTGAGGCCACAAGTACACGTTACCTTCTCTCTCATATGTGCTGCTGCTCATGGGACAAGGCGAACACATGCACGCTTAGTGTTCAAGAGGGGCAGCGTTTCTGCAGGCCTTGGCTGCTTCGTGGCTGCAAGTTGTGGAGCACACAGCAGCCTTGTAACCACAGCCCGGCTGTATGCTTCTGCATGGCATAACAGCAACTGCTTCTTCAGAAATTAACATGCATTAAGCAGGAATGCAACATTAATGGCAGTGGTGTGCAGGCACAACTTTGTGCAGCCGTCTGCGGTTATCTGCATGAAGTTTTAAACTTGCAGATTGAAGGTTTGGCTGATTTCTGTTGTACTCCACAAACTCCAGCTGCTTTGAGATTCCAACACAATTCTCAAAATAGAAAGGAGTCCAGGGTATTTGCAAGCAGGGTTAGTTTTCCCGTACCTCTTGAACTGTACTGTTTCAATCAGATTTTGGCACATTAACTAGAGATTGTTTTGTATTTTAATGATTGCAGGCCCCTCATACTGGTACTTATTTTGAGAGAATGCTATTTTATTGATTATATCCCTTCTACTTGAGCTGCTCTGGTAGTAGCAGAGAAATTGGGATGAACTGCTGCAGTTAAGGGAAGATTTCATTAGCAGAAGAGCGTTAAGCACGTTGCAGCTTTTTGGTTGGGTGATGGCTACAGGATCATTTTTCTTTAGCAAGAAATAAACATCTGTACTTTTCATGGCAGGATTCCATTTTGTGGATCTTTTCAAAGGCTCATTCAAACAAAAGCCCCACTTGCTTCATTCTGCTCCCCTACTGATCAGCTGCAGAAGCCCATGAGCTGAAATCTCTGTGGTGAGACCACTGAGTGTTCCCAAAAGGGGCTTTTGGCTGCTAGAACTCACCTCTGACTTTACCCCTCTTAGAGAAATTGAAGAAAGCACTGTAATACTTTGTTATGCCAGGGAAAGAAGGAAATTACACTGATAATGGAACAGTTACAGATACAGATGTTTGAAATTGATAGTAAGAGAAAATTCAAGGTATTTGTGGTACTCTTTGCACGTACTTACTGACCCTGAAAGGTAGCCCTGCCAAAAACCCTCCAAAAATCAAACTTCCTCCCAAAGAGTCACTTTTTGTTCCACATTCACAGTGAGAATTTATCCCTGCATTGACTTTGCTTCCTATTCAGCATTTGCTCCGAACGCAGCTAAAGTTACTGGGAGCCCTTTGGGAGAAACAAGTGCAGGATATATAAAATAGTGCAGATGGAAAAGCTTTGGCTGGATTGGTCAGTCTGCACCAAATGTGAAAATGGAATGTGATGTAGCTATCAATGTCTCTCCCTATGCAGAGGAGAGAGTGCTGCTAAGATAAACAAACATTGGCTGAACAACCTCACAAGGAACGCATAGTGCAACTTCTGCTCATTCAAAAAGCTGTGGAAAGGCAGCCAGCTGCTTGGTACCAGTGCTGATGAACAGGCAGCTACGGACCAGCTTACATCCACATGGCTGAAGTGACAGTGAGAGTCAAAGCCATTATGCCACAGGTACATTCTGGCACCTGCACCACTTTCATGCTCGTTATGACCTTTGCATGATACAATGTCAAGGCATGACAAATTTAGTAGCAGTGCATTCCTTGTATTTCCTATACAAAAAAGGGCTCAAGGCTGGGAGCAAGAAGGCACAAATCTGGGAAATAACATAGCTGAGGAATTAACACAAAACTATTATGTCATTTATTAGACATTACTTAGCACTTATTTCACATCTTGCCCCCAAATTTCCCAAAGCAACATATATTTCCCCACTTTCTTTCCCTTTGTCCCCTTCTTTTGGATAAAGCTGCCTGTGCTCTATAGATACAGTTGCTGAAGAATATATTGTGAACACAGATAAATACAGCATACACAGCAAAAATGTATTATAGCATTACAATAGGCAGATAATGTAGTTAGCCTTAAGCTACGGCAGTGCTTACGTGCTACAGGGAACCAGTTCAAGAATATCAAGCAGAGCTACCGCACAGGACCAAAGCAGCATCGGCAGTGTTAGGCAGAGCAGGGGACCGAGGGGAGGCTGCTCAGGCCTGTGGGCAGGCAGGTCGTTGTCAGTGCGGGGATCCGCTTTGCTACCAGACCCAGCCCACAGCCTGGGAGATTTCTTCAGCCCGTATCAATTCCGCAGCAGGTCCTTGGAACACCTTTACATCTGTCTGTTGTGCATACATATTAAGTCCCCCCCACCCCACCCCAACATTTCTCCTGTTAGGCTATGTTTTCTTTATATAATTTTTTTAAATTTTAACTTTTTAATTCTTTTTTTCTTACAACTGTTAAAAAAAGTTTCATGGTAAAAATAACTCACTATATGATACATATACCCAAAGTGGTGTGATACTTTATATAATAAAAGATGAAAATAGTCACTTTCCATAATAAAAATAAGTTCTATTTTTTGTTTATTTTACAATATACTTAATAATTCTTTTCTTCTTCACTCTGAAAGTAAATAGGTCCCATTTTCATAGCACTTCTGAGTCGATTAAAGTGGCGAGAGGCTGGAGAATGGCTTATGAGCATTTTGAGCAGCCGCACTCCACGTGTCTCTCCAGTTCCTCTGTGAAGGTGGAGCCATCCACGCACTGGAAGAAGTATTTCCTCCTTTTGCTCCGCAGTGGGACGCAGCACTGCCCGCTGCTGCAGCTGCCATGGCATTCCATGCGGGGCACTTTGGAGGCGGTGACACACGTTGTGTAGCCCTGCTGCTTACGGACCACTTCTCGAATGATCTCCCCTTGGCAGAGATTCTCTGGTAAGACAGCGGAGATGTCAAGGAAGCAATGTGGTAACCATTTTGCTAGATATTCCCCACACATCAGCGGACAGCCCTGTGCATGTAGTGATACTCAGGGCAAGCAGATGCCGTGAGCAGAACTGTAATCTTTTACTGCTTTGTACCTGCCACCAAAACAGAGCTTGTGTTACACAAATGTGCAATATCCGGCACAAGGCAGAGGCTGTGCAGGCCTGATGGCTTTGATCAGCAGTGCTGGAAGTGCTTTAATGAATGTTGGGTGTTGAATCCTGCAACATTCCTGCAAAATGCAAGTTAGTTTTACTATGTGTGCTTCACAGGATCAGAGGTCAGCCTGCTCTGCGTGACATCGACCATCTAGGGTGCTCACTTTGTCACAGGCAGATCCACTTTAGTGAGACTGCATATGATCTGTATAATTTGGAAAGTCTGTAGTTCACAGAAAAGGGACAACAATAATACAAGCCAGCCCCTTCCTTCTGTACAGGAAGGACTGAAGGCAGAAGGGATGAAGTTAGAACTCGCAGAGTTTCCAGTGAGTGTTTTCAGGTCAGGGCAGAAGAGGCACACCCCAGCACAAGCTGTGGGATGCCCCAGGAAACCTGCCCAGCTGCAGCAGCAGGAGTGAGCTGGGAATCTTCACTGCCACTTCAGACAGGACCTCCTGCCATCTAGGCCCTTGTCGTGCTCTCCACAAAAGCCCCTGGTATGCAGTGTAACACTCCTTTCCCAGCACTGCTGACTGACTGATCACTGTTTATCCAAGGAAAGCCTCACAACAACGTCCACTTTAAACAACCTTACAGAATCTTGGAAGCAGCAAACCTTGAGGATTCAGGAGGCAGGGAACAAAACCCTGCACTACAGATGTCCTCTTTCCATATGTTAGATTGTAGTGGTTCATTTCTCTGTTGCTTCGTAGAGGGTGACTTACCTTTATCTTTCTTATTATTTGCCATTTACTCTCTAATACAAATTACATGGAAGAGAGGGGGAAAAGAAAGATGTAAAGCAGGAGCACAGCAGACCAACATCCTGGTCCCTGTGGCCAAGCATACCTTTGTCACAGTGGTCTCCGCTATAGTTGGGATCGCATTCACAGTAGGGTTCCCCATGCTCAGAAATCTTACACTGCCCATGGTTGCATTTCAAAATCCTGCACGGGTTCGAGGAATTGTTCTTCTTCTCACAGTACATGCCTGTGTAGCCTTCCATGCACTTACAGGTGTAAGCAACATTGGCTGCCATGCACTTACCATGCAGACACCTGGAGAAAGAAAAGTACTCAGATGTTGAAGTTCCTCTTCCCAGGAATGTTTATAAGTTTGGATTTTGCTGTTTCTGCATACTTAAAGCCACGACAGTAATCTAAGAAACAGCAGATCAGCGTCAAACACATTGAAGAAACTATGAGTTTTCAGTGAATAGTAGATAATGTTCAGAGAATATACTTGGAATTTGTGATCCAAAGTGATCTCTTGGAAGAACATCAGGCTCTTCCATGAGCGTGGACCAATACTTGGCATCCACGCGAGACAGCACCGCTGTGTGGAACAAAGTGCCAACAGTCAATGCCCAGGCTTCCCTCGCAGAACTACTCTACAAATAATATCAGGTGATAAAAAACATTATGAGAAATAAAGATTTCTGTGAAAAAGCCTAACGCAGACTTAACCAGGCAGTTCTAGCTGAAGAGTTCCCCAGCTCATGTGATTTGCCTTAAGCTTTGGTATAACTGAGGGTTAGGGTTAGGGGTAGGGTGGTGATCCTTAGCAAGCTCTCTGACACCATGCCTGCTTCTGGGAGGACAGATTCGGAACAGGCAGGGAAGAAAGCAACACGTCCAGTTCAGGGAAAACTGCTCAGGGTTCATAGCCTTTATTCTATCAGGTCTTACTGACATAAACCAGTGGCTCTTTTTTCTTATTTCTTCGTCCTTTAGAACTGTCTCCTGCTTATGTTGAACCCTTACACATTTAGTTTTTAATCTATGCAAATAGAAAACACAAATAGTAAAACAGTATCAGTCAAGTCAAGACATGCAAAATAATAAATAAAGGTGGTCACAGGCTGTGAAGCAGTATTTTCTGCCCCGCTAACTAAAGGTGTGCTTGGGTATCAGCTGTTATCAACTGCCTGTTCATTACGGTTGCATTTCCTCACTGAGGTTAATCTGTGAGTGTGGGAGCAGAGATCTGTCAGCCGGCCTGGACACAAAGGGCTTGTAACTCCAAAAGTGACTTAATGGTAAGGTGGGGCAGTAAGAAAGTATTAAAAATATGCACAGCTACTTTTCTTAGCAAGGTCTACATTCATTATTGTGTAACACTCTGTGGATCACATGAGAAAAAATCATCATGTAAACATCTGGAAGTCCCTCATTTTTCTCTGTCCAATCACAACAGCCTCATTTGGGTCACTTCAGTCTGCAATCTGTGAGATGCTTCTCAGTGCCTTCCAGGGTACTAGTTTGCAGAATTAGCAAGTTTAAAACAGTTCCTCTGCAAGTCATATTTGGGCCCCCACTGACCAGAGTGATTATTTACTGTGTCAATTTACCTGTCAAAAGCATGTGGTTCTAAAAAGCCCTTTCCAAAGATAGTGCAACCAAAGCAGCTTCTAAAACCAGAGTACTTCCATCTGCTATGAAACAGCACTGAACCATGCAGTCTGCTGGTCTGCCTTGGGCTGTTTCCTTGTGTACTTGCCATAAGTAAGCTATTCATCCAGTGTTTCTGATGGAGATGTGGTTATTATTGAGCCTTTGAAATGTGAGTGCTTTATAGTCATACTGCCTTTGCATGCAACACCGTGCTACTCTTCAAACTTGCACTTTAAAGGGGTGTTTCAGAATGTAATATTTCATTCAGCTATTTAGGAAATTCAGAACTGTTCACAACAGACTGCATAATGGTTTTCAGGGAGTTAACTCGAATTCCCTGTCCAGAGCTGCTGCATATCACTACAATGCAAACCTCTCTCTTGTGGCTGGCTCTGCTCTGGATACATGTGTGCACTCACTGCCTCAGAGGCAATCTGCAGCCATTAACAGATGTTTTCATACTTTAATGTGTAAATATAGCTGAAAGTAAAGCCTGCTGTATAAACAATTAGCTCCTCTAGGAGAACGAGGTCATTTGGAGAGTGACCAGCATCAAAACAAGACATGAAAACTGAACAGTCCATGGACGCCGACTTGCACTATCAATAATTTATGTGGGAACCCAGCACCTCCAAAAATGGTCACATGTGCTTTTACAAGATGAAACGAAAATATGCAATAGCTTTAAAGCTTTTGCCCTCCCATCAGCATTCATTCAAGCTTACTTGTGGTTAAGACATGGGTCTCCAATTTCCTGGTCACACAGGGGGCCTGTCCAGCCTGGGTGACATTCACAAACCACACTTGTTTTTTCCAGGGATCGGCAAATGCCGTGCTTGCAGATGTTACAGGATTTACAGCCAGGAAGGACTCCTATTGACTGCTGTGGTAAATCCTTGAAATCCTGTAGCTCGTTATTGATGCGAACATCGTGAATACATCCATGAAAGCCACTTGGTGCCTTATCTGCACCCTGGCGCAGTGAAGATAATCCAGTAGAGGTCGGGATCCCTTCAGATAAAAAAAGAAAAAGGGAAAGCTTGCTCACAGTTACAATGATAGTATATAAATTATAATAGCTAACATTTCTTTTGCCTCGGCACCTTGTAACCTTTAAAGAAGTGATGTGCATGGCACCTTTGTAAGGCAGCGCAACTGTATTGTCCTCATTCTGGAAATGCAAAGGAACAAAAATACAATCACTTGTTCAGCTTACGTAGGAAATATATTATTAAAAAAGGGGGGAAAAGAAGCTCAGATCTTTGGTGGATGGTCATGTATTTTGTCCTTAGATAATGCTCCTTCTGCCTACAGTTCAATAGCAATTCTCCTTCTGAAAGGTGAGAATGTTTTTGCTTGTCAGCCAGTAGCTACGACTCTGGGATACAAGATAGTTATCATGATTCAACCATCAAGTTAAGGAGTGCAACCCACAGAAACTAGCTCAGAAGAAATCTAGAGTCAGAGAACAGCGTATCAGGAGGCCAGCCAAACCTTCGGGGTGAGTGCCCTTCATGTCATTCAAGCTCTTGGAAGAGTTCCCAAGCTCAGAGAGCCAACAGCTTTTTTGGACATCGTGTTATGCCCTCCTCACTAGCAACTGCTTCAGTTGTACTTGCACAGGCAAGTGCTTCCATTTTCAACTGTATAAGGTCTCTGGATTTTGCTATTGGTAACTCCACTGTTAAAGTCAAAACCAGATCAACATCTTTGTTTAATAATGATTTAGGAGGAAGGTTGCTAGACCAAGTGGAGAGATGTGCAAGATTCTGCGTACCTGAAGCCTCAGGTCTGTCTTAAAGGTTACAGTAAGAATTGTTCTGGGATTAATTTAATGACTTAATTAAACAGCCTGAAATGGAAGGGCAGTTGGCATTAATGGCAATGCTAGATATACGTAAGTGGCACATGAGTGAGGATTTAGGAAGACTCAAGAAGAAACGCACTGGGCAATACAAGTCTCTGCTGAGCTCCATGCATTCTGGTATCCAATAGAGTCCTTCACTTCCCTGTGTATAAATTGCAACAAGGTGGGAATCTCTTTAGCTGAATTAGAGAGAGAAATTATGATGGCCTCAACAGCAGATCATCTTTGATGCACAGTGCTCTTTAATAACCGGTGACATTCCTAACAGAAACCAATTATAAAAGTTCAGCTCTGTAAAAAGCAAGATCAGCCAGTTTTCTGATTTACAAAGGCAATATTCAGGGCTCTTTTAGAAAAGGGTTATTAAAAGGAATTGTTTATAAAAAGCTTAACCAGCACCAAATGGTCAAGTGGTTTCTACTATTGCCTTACATAATCTGCTCAGAAAAAGCTTATAGAATAGATTTTTTAGTCTGTTTTTATTCTGCTGAGTTGTGTATTTAGAATAGGCTGTCAAAAAAAAAAAAAAAAAAACCCAAAAAACAAAAACCAACCACTCTATGTCACAGAAAATGGGAGATTTCAACGTTTATTCCAGAATGGAATTGGTGGGGGTCTGGCACAAATAAATCCATCAGGCAGAGCACAGGCTTCATTGTCTCTAATGCCCCGACACTTCATCAGTGGGATACTCTGATTCTGAGCATCTGCTTTCCACTGTATGTGGCCCCAGAAATTACATCCTGAATATGAAAAAACTTTTTAACAGAAGTTTGATCAATTCTAAAATCTTTCAAACGTTGTTCTGGCATCAGTTTCCAATGAGAAAACTGTTAGCCAAGAAGTTTTTAGTCAGCTTGTGTGTTAATACTGTTTGGAGAATATAATCTTTTCTTCTCCCCCCAACTTTTAAACCTCTATACAATTTACAGCAGAAATACAGTTCACTTATAGTATGTATAAACCCCCTGATGTTTGATTTGCTTTTCTGCAGTGACTCCCTGCAATACTTCCATCATATTCTTCACCATGAGATCTTACTGCCAGCAAGTTCTGAAAGCTTTAGAAATGACCAACTGGTCTCTCTAGTATTGGCCACTGACCAGAGACTGCTTGTGCCCTGCTTAGGTTAATTTCCCTGGTCTGGCATGTGGGTTCGTGCAGACCATGCAGTGGGATGCTAATGAAATATGAAGAATGAAATTGAGAAGCAACCTCTGGCGGAGGGGAAGGACAAAACCTCTTGTTTTCCACCAGCCAGAAAGTCCTTTCCATGGGATGGAATACAATTTGCTTCTGAGAGAGTTCAGTGAGTCTTCTGAGAATTATTATTATTTTTAACAAGCCTCTGTTCTGTTTTGCTTTTTTTTTACAAAAAGATTTTTAACATGTCAAGGTCCAGAGCAACTCATTGTACCTCCAATGTAGAGCGGTGTGTTGAGGCTGACAGAAGACTGTTTCTGGAGTTTTCCAAGACTTTTGGGAGTCCCCTTGTCCACCACCAGGTTCAGAGTTTGATTCAGCATCACAAGTTCCACACTATGAAACTGCCCATCATTTACAGTTTCCACACTAAAAATAAAAGAGAGAATTAGATGGTGTTAACAGTGATCTGTGTATGCTTCTGTTACACCTTGCAAAGCACAGCCCCCATTCCAACTACCTTTATTGCCATTGTCCTCGACAGTTCTTCCACCACGAGCCACTGAGGTACAAATTCTAAACTTTGCTGATGTCTGATGTGAGAAGGCAGAGTATCTATGTAACACTGGAGAGGAATGCTGCATCTGAGGGTTGTGTCCACCCATGAAATTGATTAAAAACTTGTGCTTACACATGTTCCTCTTGTAGTGTACCCATTAACCCTCCTTACTGTCCCACAAAGCCAAGACAGTAACTACTGCAGCTGTAATTCTCAGGACATAATAGCAGAAGTGTAGCCCCATGGTACACTGGCTTTGGTGGCAAAGCTAATGAAAAGTTCCCATTTTCTAGTCATAGCTTGCTGCCCCTCTGTCACACTGCTTCGTGCTCCGCTGCAAGTCCAGTTATTCTTCTGTGTTAGTTTAAACTCAAATTACTTTGCAGAGACAGCAAGGGACTGCAGTTTGGGGCAAGAGACAGCAGGGGCTTCAGAAACCATGATTTCCTTACAGAGCCAAACTATCCTTCAACTGAAATAAACTGCCCTCACACACTGTGGTGCCAACCCTCCCTAAGCCTGGCCTGTGAGACCCTTGCCTGAATGCCTCCTAAGTGGGACTCAGACATCCAACACTGCTTTGCTGACAATCCAGATTTGAGTTTGCTCCATAAGTGGGATATACCATATTAAAATAAAAACAGTAAGTTTAAAGAACGGGTTTTGCTCATTCCAATGGCCTACATGATCAGCGTCCTCCCTCAGTGTTTTAAGTTCACAGGTCAGATTCCTTTCAGGTATTCTGCAAACCTGCAGTGCAGATGTGCAGGTCTCAGAGCTCCTTTGCCATATTTTCTTTACCATCAGTGAACAGAACACTCAGGAGTGACCCACCTCTAAAGAGGAATCACCTTGTAGATCTATCCGCCTCCCAACCTATTTGACATGCTGCTGTCCATCCTAAGGGTCCTGTGCTGTATACAGATGTAAGGAAGCAGTGACATGGGTAGAGGTAAGTGCCAAGGACATACATGGGATGTACTGCCACAGGCTGCGTACCCTGCAGAACACACCTCCAGCCCTCTAGCACTGCTCTATGGACTGACACCAGTTGGTCTGAGCTTGCTATTCCTGAATTCTGCTAAGAATGTGGCAAATATCTGCCATGTTACAAGGAACAGCTGTGTAATAACTCCCTGCACGCCTCACTGCTGTGTCGCAATACTTAATTCATGTGTATGAAGCACTGGGACTTTCAGTGCAGCTGAAAGGTGCTGGATACATGGCAGCACAATAACAACTGTTACTTTATGCAGCAGTGCCAATGAGAGGCAGAACAGCCCAAAGCTGCGCTGTGACAGTCGAGCTCCAGACGGATGGATGGCTGCAGGACAGCATGTTCCAGCTGGGATGGATGGCTGCAGGACGGACTGCGTCCTGGCAGGATGGGTGTGTAGGGCCATCACAGAGAGCCGTGCCGCTATCTGAGCAGGGCCACGCTGTGGCCATTTGTCAGAGGACAGTGCTATCACATCTGGCAGTGCTGCCTGTTCCCCGGGCCAGGATTTCACAGGCATTTATCAACCACTCCTCCACAGCGAGTGCTTCCCCCAGATTGTGCGGAGAGCCCCGACAAGAGGCCAACAAACGGCTGTGTGTCCTGGCAGCAGCAGAAGCTGCCTACGTGGAGCTGTGCCTCTCAGCACGCGCAGGCAGCAAGCTCGCTGGGACGGAGCTTGCCCCCACCTCTGGGTACACGTGGGCACACATGGCTGAGTGCTGCTCGATTCTGACTTCAGCTCAGAGCCCCGCTTAGTCGTCTGGGACCGCCGGAGACAGTGGCTTGGCTGCACACGAAGGGCGGAAAGCCACAGGCGCAGAGCAGAGCCTCAGACGCTGCTCGCAGCACAAACTCGCAGCGCTCGGCTCTTTTACCGGAGGCTTCTGCCCGTCCCAGCTCTCTGCAAGGCTCTCCTTCAAATCTTGACCGAATATCATCGGGGGTCGGGTGGCCGTGCAGCGCTCATCCTTCAGCAACGGCCCGCGGTGTGGAAGCGCTGCCTCGGGGTCGGGGATCGCAGCCAACGCGGCCTCGCAAGGGCGCCACGAGGGGGCGCCGCAGCCCCGCGGAACGCGCGCGGCCTCGCGCTGCCCGGTGACGGCTCGGGCCCGGCGGCCTCGCGGCGCCGCTCGGAGCGTTTGTCGCTGTTTGTCGCTGTTTGTCGCTGTTTGTCGCTGTTTACCTTCCAGAACTGCACTGTTACTTTCTCTAAGGGTCCCAGAGCCAGTGGGAAAGAGCACACAGCAGAAAATCAGATTTTAAATGACCCCCGGATACGGCTTTTAGTTTGTGCTGTCTGGGTGGCTGCGCCCAGTGGGAGCTCAGGGCTGCAGCTCCCCACTTGCAGGGCTCGCTAAGAGCCATCAGCGCCTCACAGTGCGGTGACTCCAGCAAGATGGGCTGCATGCACTGAACCGGATGGCAAACACAGACAGGGCCATGGCCTCCACCAGGGCTCAGACTTCAGAACACGAGGAAGTGAAGGGAAAAAGGTGTATTAAATAGAAATACTCAGGGAATGTATATAAGACCTGATTCTTACTCTCATCTTTTATATATTTCTCTTCTTTCTCTCCTGTTTGCTTTCTCCTCTCCTCCAGCCCCCAAGCACGCACAGATGTTATAAACACGACTCCCCCTGCTCTAATACACAAGAGGTTTACAGCTGAGCCACTGTAAATATGCCTGTGAACAGAAATGCATTAAAGGATTAAAGCGTTCAACTTGTAAGGCTTGGGCTTTGGGGTTCATTCTTTTCTCTGACATGTAATGTACCTTTAGTGTACGCAGCAGAAGCAGCAGGGCAGAGAAGTCAAAACAAAAATAGCTCTAAGTATCACAGCAAACTATGTCACCAAGGAAATGCGTAACCATCAATTATGCAAATGAGAACATCAATTCATTAGCTACAGTCTCCAGATTTTCTTGACCTCAGTCTTAATGGGGACATGCCTCATCTGAAGCACAGAACAAAGCAAACAAGAAAATGGTAAGTGACTGGGGAGAGAAGGCCATGGGAAACACTGAACTTGGGCAGTCTTTGAAAAATCCAAAGTAGAAGGGAATAGCCAGAAATATCTGTCCAAAAGAGCTCAACGAGCACTCAGCACGTGGGAAGAACAGGCACTAAAATCAGGAAACAGGTAGAGCTGCAGGGAAATACATGGAGACACAATTTGGGAGCTGTGAAACTCCCGTGCTGGGATGACTTCACATGCCAGTGGTGATAGGCTTTCACCTTTCCAAGCTACAGCTACCTCCTGCCCTTGGTTCCTGTTATAATCAGTCCCCAGCTTAAAACAGATTTAAACTCCATGGCAACAATGGCAAAACCATAATTGAGTAGTGCTTGTGCTACTTTTACAATAACACATCCCTTCAAGCACTATCATCTCCGGAAGCCAAATAAAAACCACATGTTGAGAAGAAAGCACGAAAAATGCTAACGAAACACAAGACCGGGGAAATAAGAGGTGAAAAATATGTATTAAAGCACTCAAGCTCACTTCCAGCTTAAAATACACTCCCTTTTGTTATGTTCAACCTACATGATTCGGGTGTTAGGTCTCCTAAACTGAGAGCACTCAGTGGTTAAGATTTTTCCTTGCTACCTCCATGCTCATGTGCTTGGCTTTATACCTTTTCTCTTACTTCTAACCCTGCAGACCACCCAAAAAAGCCATCTTTCTCCTCCTGGTGTTTACAGCCCTTAAACACTGGCAGCTGATTACCATATCTCCCTTAATGATCATTTGGCCAGGCTATGCATATCTAATTTCCAGTCATAATTCCACTCCTGCAGCACCCCTGCCAGCAGTGAAAGCTATTGTATTACAGACCTTCTAAGGGAAAGGCAAGGACCTTTTTTATACTCCTGCAACATGCAATTAACGCAATCCTGACCCCTTTTTGTAGACTATTCATTAAAGGGGCAGATTCATGGCCAGTGTAAGCACTCCCTGTTTGCAGTAAATTCTCACCATGTTCCTGACGTGGGCAGAGGGGCTGAATCCTGCACCAGTCTCCTGCAGGATCACAATGTCGCTGCAGAGCTGAATGCCTCATTCTGCCAGCTGAGAGTTAGTTAAACGCAAGCGTTAAGAGCAATAGAAATAGCTTGAGTGAACTCTGCAAGTCTGAGGCCCCCCTGACTGGGGGTCACAGTGCTAATGCCTTCCCATCCGGCTCCAACACAACAGTTTGTGCATGATGGCACACAGTGCACTGCAGTGCAACGAGCTACTGTTTCTCTGTTCTGTTAACATGCCTCATGTAAAATAACAAGCCCAGTAAGCACAGAGTGTAAAAATGATTACATATAGGTTTTGCAATGCCACTGGGACTCATTAAATCATTTACCCTTAAAAAAGAGCAGCAGGGCCAGTCCCAGCACCCAGCACCATCTCCTTTGGCAAGAGCCACCCCCCACATGTGGCTGTGGCAGCCCTGCCTGCTGCCTGGACCTGGACCTTGGCACCAAACAGGTGCTGGTGCTTCTCCAGAGTGCCAGGGCCACGGGCTACTGACAGCAGCTCTGACATTCTACTGGTTATCACGGGTCTGTTTCCAATGAGGAAACCCATCAAACATCTTCACAAAGTCATTTTGTCTGACAGGACACTTTACACCATCTATCCTCTTTTCAGCTCTGGAAAATATCAAAGTATCTGCCATTTAGCAATCAAGGTCCAGGGCCACTACAGAATACAAGTAAAAGTGTTTCCAATTTGAATGACTGAGAATCAGTTTTTAAATCTGAAATCCAAGGCTAAGCCCTATGAAAAAAACTGGCTATTCAGAAACCTGACAACAGTAAGGAAATGAAACTGTCTCCATCCCATCTATGGCATCATACCTACAGCTGTGCAC